CAGGTGATGCCGCCTCTGTAACGTGTGTACGCCTTTTCCTGCGTCTACGACCTACAGTCACCCAGCTCTCTCGACCTCAAGGCCCTAGGGTTCTTCGGGAGCTTGGTTGAAGTGGATGTTTGAGCCCTTTGCGGTTTTGTCCATATTCTCTGTACCCATTCAAAACAGATGCTACACTCTGCCTGCTGTACCGGGTTTCTGTGGATGGGACACCAAGGCACATGACAGAGGACATGCTGGCGGGGGGCATGGAAGCAGCAGGGGCCAGGCATGCTGCAGGGGTGCGAGAGACATCAGGGGGAGGTTCGCTACCTGACAGAGGACTTCAAGCGGCCTGGGCTGATGCTCACGAGTGGGTGAAAGTGAGACGTTTTATTTGTATTTTGATTATGTGCTTCATTAGTGAGCAGTGGCTTTCTGCGCTCATATGGAGGAATTTTCCTGTCATGTGATGGTGTGTCCCACAAAAGATGGATTATAAACTTTAAAACTGTAATTTTCATTATTAATAATTTCTGATTAAATTATCTACAAATGCCTCATTAATTTAGCCCTATTAAAATGAATGGCCTTCCATGAATTAAATCTTCTTCAACATGACTAACGATTTGTTAGCCTTACTGTATGCATAATCTTATTGTTTATTTATGGTCTTGTCTGATTTCTGTTAAAAATCTCTTATTTAAATCTAGCACCCTTTTGATATGACTTTCTCTAACCATTACGTATTGTCTGAGCCGTCCGACAGTCGGGTACCTTACAATACCTAAACCAGAAACACATTAAGCTTGTACTTTACTAAACAGCGCCCCCTCGTGTTGGACAATGTATAGTTTAGTCACAAGATTTTCCCGTAAATTAGTGCATGTGTGGTAGCATCTTGCTTTGATAACCTGAGAGTGTATCTTTTTAAAAATCATAAATTTATTTAAATAGTTGAAATGAAAGTTAAACAGATGATGTAGCTCACAGATATGTTAGTATCTGACTCATACTGGAGCCTAAATGAGAATTGTACATGCAGAATAGTGATAGGATTCTACCCTGCATTTCTGGCGCTGTGTGTGGGGTGTTAGCATATTTTCTGCTTTGATACTCTGCAAAAAATGTCTCCACCTTGAATAAAACCTACTCATATTTCTTTTGTACCTGCCTTTAAACCAGCTCATTTCCTTTGGAAACATTCTTTTTGCTGTCCTCTTTCCTTTTGGAGATAACCTCACAGATACAGGCCTCAGGGTGCAGGTACAAGGTCTCACCATACAGAAAACTCCTCAGTGTCTCGCTCTTTGCTTTAAAACACATACACATCATATTCAACAGACTCGGTACAGAGTCTGTGTTCAACCACTGTACTAAAGGTTAAATGCCACTCTTTTTTATGGCGCCGGTTGGGTTTCGGACTCGCGAGGTCACCCACCCGCTCCGTGGTAATCTGCCTGGAAGGTGCATTGGCGCTGAGCTCCTCCAGGGGGTAGAAGATCTGCCGGCGTGGCCGAACCGGAACCATGCAGCTGAGCACCACAGCTGGAGAGGATCCAGGGAATGCTGCATCCTGCCAAGAGAAAGTGAAATTGTAGGGTCATGTTAACGGCTCGTTAAACACAAGCAAGGAAGAGCTGCCTATCGTTACATGCTGTCCTGCCAAGGGAAGGGATGAAGCAGCTGGATTTAGGAGATTTTCACTACATATAGGATTTTTTCGCCACACAATGAGAGGTACTCATCAGTTAGTAATAAAATGGTGCACATCCAGTCAAATTCACCTCTAGCTAACGGATCCCAGGACCAAGGCTGATCACAAGTCAGCAGGAGTCCAGCAAAATTAAACTCCCTAATAAAGTCCTAGATTACTAATTACGTCAGCGTGATTCCAGCAGCGTTCGTCTGAGCTTTCGTGACGGAGCTTTGGCCCTGCCCACCGCTGCTTATCCCTGACTCCTAGTGACTCTGAAACTACTGGAGGCTCTCTTCCTGGAGTCTTTAGAAGGGTCATTCATATATCCCATAAGCAACAAGCGGGACATGTTGCAACCGACACAGTCGCCACAAAACCTGTTACAGAACCTTCCATGGGAAGGATGTCCTCACCCCATGACAAGACTTTCTCACTGCCTTCTCACCTCAGGACTTTGACTGCAGGTATAGATGGGATAGTAGAGGCAGGACTTCTGGCCCAGTCGCAACGCCTCCTTGAGGAAGTGCCTGGCATAGCATTGGAAGATGGGGTTGAGGACAAAGTGGCAGAGCCGTCCATGCTCCTCACGGCGGTGATAGCTGAAGTATATGAAGTTTTCGACGTCGTAGTGGGATTGGATATACTCAAGGTCCTGGGACAGGAAGTGAGAGTGAGGAGGGGGTTAAAGAGGCCTGGCGTCTGCAAACAACAATGTCGCTCTATTCTATTTCAAACAAACTTTTCTTTTAGGAAGGCTAACATCCACAACATTTAAACTAAAAGGAGAAAAACGTCCAAAGCTACTGTGAATAGTATTTTGTTACAAAGACAGATATAAAGACAGTATCCAGAACGTTAAGCAAATGTGTTCTAAGTAAACTGTTTAGCTATCAGACGGTTAGAAAGAAGAGGGGGAAAATGTGAGAATGGGAAAAATAATTTAGTCCAACCTCCTCGTTCCTGATAATTATTATCCCAACAACTTGACCCTGGGTGTGAGCCAGGAATGCCTGCAGAGGGGTCCCGTCCTATCAGACAGAGGCCCGTCCATTAGCACCAGCAAGGAAAGCACCTCCCATGGTCCTGCCACCCACTTCCCCACCAGGCCTCTCGCTCACTAATTGCTTCACTTTTTGGTGAAAATCCAATTTCCTTACCAGAGTGCGAGCTGATTTCATCTGGCGGCCGGTGACACTGGCAATTCTGCCACCCGTTTCGGTGGCTTTAATTAAAGCCGCAAATTAATTAGGCTGCCAAACCAGGGGCCGCTCCGCAAAGCGGCTGGCCGTATCAACCTAATTGGACATTTAATTCTTATTCAGAAAGGCAGACCGTTTCAAAAATGATTCTTAATTATTCAGGCCATTCGTATCGTGAATAAACAAGAGCTGCCATTCTAACTGGAATGTTCTTAACATTACAGCATACTTACATTAAATAAATTTATACACATAATTAATAAATTTGCACTTTGCACATTTAAAATACAACTCCGAAAACTCACTGGGTCTCGCCGGGCCTGGTAGAACATGTCCAGGTCCCCCAAGATGGACTCATGGAGAGTGAGTGTTTCCAGCAGGGTCTCAATGGCAGGTCTATCTGAGGACAGGGCCACCCTGACCTGGAAGGTCCTGAGACAGAGATAACAGGCAGGGTGCATTGTCAGCAACTTTCAATGACATGTTTTTCATATGCTTGCAGGCTCTTCACTTTCAACATCTTGCACAAATACTCATGGATGGTTCCGATCTATGACTTTTGAATCAACATTGGAGGGTTCTCAATTTACGTAAGAGTTGCATTCCAGAAACACTCCGATAATAATATTGTGTGGCTTCGACTCACACAATGTGATTTAAATGAAAAGAGGATATTTGGCGTTATTTTAAATTTGTGTACTGTATTTTTAACCCACGTGAAGTGAGAACTCTCTGTTTGACCACTGCTGTGATGGTTATTTTGCTCGTATTTTCTGATCTCTATTCACGGCCGGGATGCAACACGCACCTGAGCAGCCCTGAGCGGTGACACACGTACAGCTCGTGAGGCAGGACGCTGTTGCCGCGTGGGGCCACGCGGAGGAAGGCCTGCAGCAGCGGGAGCTCGGGAGCCGTCTTGGGCACGGTGATGATGCAGAAGTCATGGTCCTGCAGTCGAGAGCCCACGGCAGCAGTCACCGCATTCAAAACGGAAGATTCTTTTCATGATTGTGTAAACAACGCTTTTCGGGATCCTGAGCAAGACTTGACCAACCTACAGCTGTCATTTGTTATTTCCCTTCTCATATTTGTAGGCTGAGCAGAAGGGGGGACACTTGGCGCTATGCGGCTACTTAGTTCGTTTATGTCTTTGCAACGCCGTCGTATTTTCTAAGGCAAAATAACAAATAAAAGCGGTTCTTCTGCATAATCACATTTTATTTTTATATGCTTGTTTGTTTGCCTGAGAAACTACGTGTAGTTTCAACCACTTGATGCGCTGCCGCTACTCGTCCGGTTTGTCACGAATAATATCCCCGTGCCGGTTCTTCGCATACTCACTGGGAAGCAGCCGAAGACGTGCGGCAGGAAGTCCACAGAGCTGTGAACAGGAACGAGGATGAGAGGGGAACAGATGACTGACAAGGCACCCGGCCGACAACACGACCGTCAGCCAACGGGCAGCCCATGGCAGCGGGGGTCTCCGCCGTCCGCCAGCTCGCGCCCCCCCCCCAAACCAGCTGTCAGCGCACGCGACACGCTCATCCGTCACCGGCCGAATTGCAGCGGCGGCAGGCGGCATGACAGCTACGCTCCGCGATTCCTAGCAGCTGTCTGACTGAGCCGGGTACTCACCCGGGGAGGACGCCAACTGACAGGGAGACGAACCCGTCTCACATCGCCAAAGCTTCCCATCAGGCTTCCCGCGATCATTCAACCGAAGGAAAATGAAAAACCGCTTGATCTTTCATTTTTTATAGAGGGATTATGTGGCTCAACTTTTTACATCGCAATATTAGGCTCTCTGCTAACGCCATTATGACCGACGTCATAAAAGAAGATACCTCCTGGTACCACGAGAGGGAGCTCGCCTACTACCAGTGATACGCGTACCATACTGTAATTTGTGGACACCTGATGTAAAGTTTCCAAGTTTTTTTGTACAAATACTATAATTATACTTATAGTTACACATTTTCATATGACTAATGAATAAAATAAAATAAACCCACAGCTACACAGAGGGCAGATCTGATTCCTTCGTTCCTTCAACTCACCGCATTTCATATTTCCTGTCAACAAAAAAGAGCTGGATGCAGAAGGCGTTTGGAGCATCCTGGTAAACTTCTGAGACATGGGCCTTTGTGGCATTTGTCTGAAACAATTAGAAAGTTAGCAGTAGCCTTATCAGCAAAGGAGAACATAACTTACAGGATGACATCACTAATGAGTATGGTTAGCTTGCAACACTGGGCCCACAATATAGTTAAAATACACAACTTTAAAATAATACCATATATCTCTTTAAATTTGTGGTGCCAAACATTGGCCAACTGCATGGTTATTTTTTTATTTTTAAAATTTGAAACATTAGCACATTTCCAGAATGCAACTGTCATAAATTGAAAACCCTCTGTCTCAACTCAACTCAACTCAATCCTCTTTGTCCCTTGTGGGACATAAGGCTTCAATGAGCTCTCTCTATTGCATGCGGTCCTTTGCAGCAAACCCTCTGTACTATAGTATTAATATTAGAAAAATCCTTTGCATTACTACAATCCCTGTTTTAAAATTCAACTGTATATAAACTGAAGAAGTGATTCCCTGGCTAGGGATACTACCATAGGGTTTTTGAGACTTGAACCCACAAGCTTCCGATCAGGCAGGATTCTCTGTACAGTATCGGTACATCATTCTCAGGGCTACAGTACCTGTGCCTCTCGGTTAGGATGATTCTGGGGGTTGGGCTCCTGCAGAAACAGCCTCTCTGCAGAGACACCAGTGGGCTCATGCGGGCCTGGTGGAGTGCACCGGCGAAGGCCATCGAATGGGCCAAGTTCAAAGCACTCGTCAAGGAGCTTCAGATTGATGTCGGCACTCACGCTCATGAAGCCAACTGGCATACCTTCATTCTGCAAATACACAAACACACTCAGCTTAGCGTTAAATCCAGAGCTAGATGTTATTTGTGAAACCGTATCAGGTCAGGACTTCCTGGTGAGTCTACATCCTCTGAAGGCACAATTCATGCTCTTAAATGCATAAAAATGATTCAATAAACACAAACACCAACCAGGAAACACCAAAAAGTGATGAATCTGGGGACAAATAATGTACACACATAGTAATGAGGTTGACAAACCTCGCAAACTGCAGCTTGATGGTCCTCATCCTGAGCTTCTATGAGCTCAGTCAAAAAGTAGGGCCCATAGCGATCAGAGAGTGCCCCACTCCGCTCTGCTAATATTGCAGTGAGGTCATCATGATCTTCAACTCTAGAACAAGAGGTTTTATACTTACAGTACAATAGCTAATGCTTTCTGGAGTCATTTTCAGCTTGATTAAAGGCAGCCCTGGAGCATATGTCTCAACTACCATTGCAAGATCAGTCAAAGAAACACAAGGATACCACAAAAGCATATGTAGTAGTACATGCCTGGACCTATAAAGTTAAATGTTTATACAGTACCAGTCAAATCCTTGAGTACAACTGTGTTGCTTGCATGGCTGCACATCACTGAAGGTGCCAAAGTGCAATACATAGATAAAAGGTAGGGTACATTAAACATAAAATGTACACTTGTTCTAGCAATAGTTACTTAAAACTTGTGTGGATTCAATAGCATTAGCCATGAAATTTTAAGTCATATTGCATTCTTGGCTATTGGCACCTGGGTGCAAATAGAATCTGCCTGCTATAAACACCAGGGTGCAAATAGCCACATAAGCTATCCACCCCAGGGGCAAATAGCATTGTTGGATACTGACACCTGGGTGCAGATAGCATTTGCCAAAGAAAAACATGCACCACTGCACTGATCAATTAAACAGAAAATCATCTAAATCATCAATTCCTAAAATAGCTTTAATAACAGTTTCAAAATGCACAAAACATTCAGTTAACATTCAGCAAACAATCACAGAAGATTCCCATCCAGAGCTTCTGCACCATTTCCCTGAAATGTAGGATTTCTGTGAGTTGCTTTGACTTTTCTGTCCCATGTCCCATACCTATGCCATGTCCCATACCTGTGCATTAGTCTGAACTGTCTTTCACCAGACATCTCTTGCACAAATTCTGTGTAATTTTGAGTTCTGTTTTTGATCTTTAGTCTTGTTGAATACTGAAGGACCGTTCAATTATGCTTTGATAGCCATACAATTTATGTAAGAGCTGTGTTCTGGAAAAGCATATGTATTTCAAATTTTGCTAATTTTTTTCTCATTGAAAAATAAAGGAAAAATGGCATAACTATGCAAGGAATGTTATTGCAATTTTGAAAATATAATTATTTTAACATAATTGAACATAATTTAAAATATATAGCATTATTTTAATATAGTGTAATTTAAATTAGCATAAAATGAGAACATACAATATTTCAAATTTAGACTTATCAGTCCTAAGATTGACTTCTGCTCCTGTTAATAGACAAGAATGTATAGTTTGAAGAATAAATAATTATGGTTTCAAGCAAGTGTGCTCAACCTTTTGACTGGTACCATAGATAAAAATAAATGTAAAACAGGAAGTGTGAGAGTGACCTGGCTCGGCGCACATGCAGTATCGGGACGTGAGGCTGCCTGTGACACACGAATGCTGCACACTGGCGCTCAGGGGCCCGGATGACCTCAATGGGCTCGAAGATCTTAGTCAGCACTGGCTCTAAAAACAAGCAGCATGGATACACATTTATTGACACATTGGCCTGTTCCTGACAACAGTGATTTGGATGTTCAAAATTTCATAAAATAATTTACATACATAAAATATTGGTTGATTACAGTTTTCTGGCAAGAGGTAAGAAGTTTTTTCTGTCTTACCAAGCATATCCATGCTGGGTGTAACCAGGAAAATGTAGTGCAGGTAAGTTATGGCATTGAATACTGTCCTGTAAAAAAGTATGTAAAAAATATTGATTTTTCTTGATCAAGATATCTTCATACAGGGAAGTATACCATGCCTGGTGAATGGCATGTGACAAGACTCACTATAGCAGTACATATTGCTAGACTGCTCCAGGAGCTTGAAAATACCCATCTGAAATGTACAATCTTTTGTTTAGCTGAAAGCCCAAGTTTGATTGTTCTCCTTGTGTCCCCTTTAGATACAGGCTGTCCCGACATTATGAGTGAGATCTGTTCCCGAAGTCTTTCTTTAACTCGAATTTGTAGGTAAGTTGGAAAAATAAATACAGTACATAATAACAATAACAATACTACTACAACAACTAATAATAATAATAATAATAATTATGATGATTATAATTACACCATAAATATAAAAGTAAATTTGGTACTGTACTGGACCTCGAACCAACGAACTGCAAAAGCCACACAATGTTTTTAGGAACCTCACAAAATAGTGTGTGTGTTCATTATTATGAACCTTTGCATTTAACCCGATTTTTTAATGTAACAGGCTTTATGAGAGCCTGTTCATAAGTATGAGTTGTTTGTAAGCCGGTCGTTCGTAACTTGGGGACTGCTTGTACTCCAATTTTTTTGCACAGTCCAAAGACAGGAGGCTTAAGTGAACTGCTGCCTCTGTATTGTTTTATCTGAGTGTGTCTGTAATGGACTGGCATCCCATTCAGGGCATCGCCGCCTCTTGCCCATTGGTCAAGGCTCTTGCAGTACTGCACTGGACATGCAGTTAAGGGAAAGGGGTGGATGGATGGATGGAGGGATGGATGGATGGATGGATGGATGGATACCCAATCATACTGGTCTAAGGGACCCATAGCTGGTCCATGTTTTGCTCCCTCTGAGCTCCCTACCATACAATCTGCATTTTTATGGGAGTTGGGAGGGAGCAAAAACATAGACTGTCTGTGGGTCTCCATGGATCGGACTGGGAAACACTGCTTTATACTACTGGTGAAAAGGCCTTCAGCAAGTGCAAACTTAGCCTGCAGCTGTTCATTGGTTGTCTCACCTCACAATCTCTTTAGCACTCCCAATAGCGAAGGCTGGTTGTGCCACGAAAAGGTGCATGAACAGCGAGTTCAGTGGCTGACGGAACACAAAGCGTAAAACATTCTGGTAAATGTCAAATGAGCTGATCTGTGCAAAATATCTAGCGAGAATTTTTTTTTTCTGCCTCTGTTAATGCTTTGTGTATCACTTAAGTGAAATACTAGTGCCTACTTACTGTGCATTTGTCAGTCCTGAAATGCTCATGAAACCATGGCTCCCAACTGCCCTGGTCCACTAGGTGTACGCTAGGGTGGTCGAGGAAGGCCGCATGGGCAAGAACTTCATTTCTGCTGTTGCTCAAAGTGATTGCAAAATTAGCCCTCTCCCTAAAAGTCAGGAATCAAGACATGCCAATTAGAGGTTGTTAGAATATTGGATGCCACTATATAAAGAGTTTATGAATGGTTTATAATCTGGTTATTAATTAGGTTGTAACACTTTGTAAATTATTAATAGACAATTTTAAACAAGTTATAACACAGTTTTCTTTTTTATTAATGAGTTACTACCATTTACAAGTGGCAAGAGGGAGCCTTATTGTAAAGTGGTGCCGACTATTGTTAGTAAAATGAGTGTGTGAAATAGGAAAAGATTCAAAAAGCACAAACATGATTATACACATCATATACACAATTTCTAGTATTGTCTTTTAGTGCTCGAATTGTGTTGGATTAGGTCATACATTTACATTGCAGTACATTTATTTATTTGGGAGATGTCTTTATCCAATGTGACATACAATTCAAACAACAGGGTCAGCCAGTCCTTGGAGCAATTGGGGTTAAGGGCCCTGCTGAGGGTGCCTAATGGTGATATCATTCTGCTAACCATGGGATTTGAACCAGCAACCTTTTAATGATGGTCCTAACTATGTTGCCTCATACATGTCATGGCAGTCAATAAAACATGAAAAGTAGAAGTAAAAGTAGAAGTTAAGCGATGTACTTACAGCAGATTGAGCACATTAACTCTTCCGAACACAGCTACTGTAGATGGAGAGATCAGGCCACTGATCTCCAAGGCATCTGCAGATTCTGTTCTCCTCACTGTTACAGTCTCAACTTTTCCACTTAAAGAAGTGACTGTTTTCATTTTTAAAATCTAAATAAATAAACAAGACTACAAATGGGGAAAAAACTTGTACTCATAAATATTAAACCAAAAGACCCTGTGTGTGTGTGTCTGCTGACTATGATTTTAAAAAAGGCATATGTACATCAATTTTATGACATTTCAAAATTCAATTGTGTTTGAATAACAAAGAACTATCCACTCTTACATTGACAGCTCATTAGCATTATCAAACCAATACACTAAAGTGCTATTTAATAAATAAAACAATGCTTTTAAGTTTGGATACACGGACAGTGATTTATATGTAGGCTTATGGATTTTGCTTATTTATAAATATTCTACTTTACCTTAAAACTTTGTCGCCGTAGTCAGTTTTCTTTTCAGTATAACGTTTCCATTAGCCGAAACCATAGTAACAGGACGCCGTGACGTCATACGCACGAAAGGTCAGAGTTCATGTACGACGTGCCTGTGTCGTTCAGTTTAAATATTTTGGATCGCTCGACTCTTCGAGTTGTACCTTAAGAATTGTTTAATTTAATTTATTATATTATATTTACAGTATAGTAGCTGACAGTCATGGCGTCAACGGCGGCGGGGAAACAGCGAATACCAAAAGTGGCAAAGGTATTTCATAGGTTAAAATGAACTTGCTAGCTAGCTAGCGAACTAGCTAACAGCGTGTTAGTAAGGCCCGTAATGTCGATGTTTTGATGTAGCTAATGCTAGTCATGTATGTGAAAATGAAATGAAGAAATGTGGAATGTCTTTCTGAATATTACTAAAATAATTGTTGATCACTGCAATAAAATAGTCATCGGTAAACTTGATGGCTAAGCATGTTACTATTTGCCCGCGAACTTTCTAAGAGTGTGATGTCCCGACTGTTTTTCGCAGGTGAAAAATAAAGCTCCGGCGGAGGTTCAGATCACTGCCGAACAGCTCCTCCGAGAAGCGAAAGAAAGGGAGCTTGAGCTTTTGCCACCACCGCCCAAGCAAAAGATTACAGATGAAGAAGAATTAAACGATTACAAGTTAAAGAAACGGAAGGTAACAGTATTTAAGCATTCTGTTGTCACAATTTGTAAGGAAGCAACGTCTAGAATAATTTAAGTAATTATAATTATGACTGTATTCTAGCTCTCTCTTTACGTGTCTGATACGTATAGCTGATTTATTGCCGGGTTGTTATGGTAATATCCTGCTGATGTGCCAACTTTTTATTCCTGAAGATAGTCACATTTTTGTGTCTTGACAGGGATTTGAAGACAACATCAGAAAAAACCGAACTGTCATCAGTAACTGGATAAAATACGCACAATGGGAAGAGAGCCTGAAAGAAATCCAAAGGTACAGTATTATTTGATTGCTAGGTCTGAAGACTTGGTTTCCTCAAAACTCTACTTGGTGTTTATACCTTGCATATACTATTGAACCAGAGCACGCTCCATCTACGAGAGAGCCCTGGATGTGGACCACCGGAATATCACACTATGGCTAAAATATGCCGAAATGGAAATGAAGAATCGGCAGGTGAATCACGCTCGCAACATCTGGGACCGAGCTATCACCATCCTGCCCCGTGTCAGCCAGTTCTGGTATGTGTCTCTCACAAATCCCCACTGCCTTTTGTATACATACATTTTAATTATTTATAAAATTTTGTGTACTCTACTGATATGTTGATGTTTACGTGAAAAGAAAAAAAAAATGAGCATGATGCATTTTGTTTCCAACTGTCCTTTGCATGTTTTACATTGTAATGGGAGATTGTAAAGACAGTGTAGAGCTGCTTGTTACATTGTTTCCATTTACCTTCTGACGTTTTGCCCTGGGCAGGTACAAGTACACATACATGGAGGAGATGTTGGGGAACGTCGCAGGCTGCAGGCAGGTGTTTGAGCGCTGGATGGAGTGGGAGCCGGAAGAGCAAGCTTGGCACTCTTACATTAACTTCGAGCTGCGATATAAGGAAGTGGAGAAGGCCCGCTCAATCTATGAGCAATATATCCTTTGGGGAGGTGTGCCGCGTGCTGTCTCAGCAGTGCAAGATGCAATGCACGGGGGTGTTCTGATTTAGCTTTTCTTCATGTTAGTATAACTTCTGTTTAACTATAGGAAGCATGCAGTGCTGCCTTCATCACTTATGATTCTTAACTCTGGGGCACTTGTCATCGTCCACCCTGAAGTAAAGAACTGGGTCAAGTATGCCCGCTTTGAGGAGAAGCACGGATATATCGCGCACAGCCGGAAGGTGTTCGAGAGGGCTGTGGAGTTTTTTGGGGAGGAACAGATAGATGAAAACCTTTATGTACCCTTTGCCAAATTTGAAGAGAAGCAGAAAGAGGTAACAGCTAGATTACTGTTTTTCTGTTTTCAGTAGTGCCTTATTTATCATGCTCATGGAGTGTGTCGGTGTGTCCCACTGAGCTTAAATTTGGATGCTTATTAATATTGTTTTCTTTCTTTCATTGTTAATTTATTTCTTTGGCACTAACTGTTTTCCCCATTTTCAAATCTGAATTTTCATTCTTATGTTACATTATCAGGCCTAAAATTTTAAGGAAATGAATAATTAAGCATGTCTCCTTGCAGATTTATAGCCTCTGACTAGGTTATGATTTTGGTTTTCTGTCTCATCATTTTATAATGTCATCTGATCACCCCTTCATACTTGTGCTAGTTTGAAAGGGTTCGGGTTATCTACAAATTCGCTTTGGACCGGGTCCCCAAGAACCAAGCCCAGGAGCTCTTCAAGAGCTACACTATTTTTGAGAAGAAGTTTGGCGACCGGAGGGGAATAGAGGACGTGATTGTTAGCAAAAGGCGCTTCCAGTATGAGGAGGAGGTCAAGGTGAGCACAGAAATGGGCACCTGGTGCAGGGTGCGGTTTTCTGGCATTAAACTGGGGTTCGCCTTCCGTTCTGACACCTTTCAAACCTCTGACTTTGTTTAGGCAAATCCCCACAATTATGATGCCTGGTTTGATTACCTGCGTCTGGTGGAGAGTGACGCAGACCCAGACACGGTCAGGGAAGTGTACGAGAGAGCTATAGCAAACATCCCTCCAATACAAGAGAAGAGACATTGGCGGAGGTATATCTACCTGTGGGTAAACTATGCCTTGTATGAAGAGCTGGAGGTTAAGGTAGGTTTTGTTCACCTCTGAAATGTAAATCATGGTCAGATTTTGTGTGATTTTTTTATTGTTGTTGTTAAAATTTAATTTAATTGTCTTGCAACCATTTGCTGTCATTTAAGATGTTTATACTTGTTTAAAACTAGATTTATTCATAAACCCTTTTGTACCCAATGGTAGGATCCTGAGAGGACAAGGCAGGTTTACCAAGCGTGTCTTGAACTGATCCCACATAAAAAGGTAAACTGCTGTTGTGTGAGTAAGTTCTGTGAATAGTTACTGGTGGAGCCGGGGGGTGATGGTATAACTTGTGGCTAAGTAGTTTGGGCAAAGTGGACAGGTGTTCAGGCACCCCGCCCTGCCCACACATGCCTGACTATAAGTTACTGTTTAACAGGGTGAATTGTGGTACATTGTATTGCTATTTTTCATTCTTTTTGAATGTTTTTGCAACATTCAATTTTGTTGCAGCAAAGCGGCCGTGGCTCCTTTGCCATTAATACATTTCCTCCCTCTTCAGTTCACCTTCGCCAAAATATGGCTGCTGTATGGGCAGTTTGAAATACGACAGAAAAACCTGCCGTTTGCTCGGCGAGGCCTGGTAAGTCATAGCGGGCAATGAAATGGCTCACAGGAAATATGGCTGCCAGCCATTTTCGTCCTGCTTAGCTGCGGCTTCTGAAGGTACAGTGTTGCGATGCTCTTTCGCTCCTCCCCAGGGCACCAGTATAGGAAAATGCCCAAAGAACAAGCTGTTCAAGGGCTACATCGAGCTGGAGCTTCAGCTGCGAGAGTTTGACCGTTGCCGCAAGCTCTATGAAAAATACCTGGAGTTCTCTCCGGAGAACTGCACCACGTGGATCAAGTTTGCCGAGTTGGAGACCATCCTGGGGGACACAGACAGGGCCCGTGCCATCTTTGAGTTGGCCATTGGGCAGCCACGACTGGACATGCCTGAGGTCAGCCTCCCTGCCGTGTCACACCTATGGGTTTGTCGTGATTTCAAATTATATATTTCTTTCTCTTTGTCTTTGAATTTTGGCATTTCAGGTGCTTTGGAAGTCGTACATCGACTTTGAAATCGAGCAGGAGGAGTATCAGAATACAAGGGAGCTTTACAAGAGACTGTTACAGCGCACACAGCATGTCAAGGTGAGGCGTTTCTCTCTACAGAAACCACCCTGTTTCCCTTCCAGTTATAATATGAAAAAACTATGGATGCACGTTTTTTTTTGACCTGGGGTGCATTTCTCAAAAGCATAGCTGCTAACTACGTAGCTGAAACCATGTAACTGAATGAGTCCAACTATGGAAACTGTTAATGGAAGCATTTGGGAAACACACCCCATGCCAAGTCTGATTCTTCTTAATCTAATAATGATTAGTAGACTAAACATTTTTTAATGATTCTTTATTATAACAACGTCTTCTCCACACTGTAAAGAACCTCAAAACAGGCACCTTTTCCATAAGCGCTTCCCTTTTAGTGATGGGCAATGTAGCCAAAATGTCATATCGTATTATCACAATCCACAATATGGATTATGATTTTTTTTAAATGCATGTAGTAATGTAATGTAATTAACCATTTGACCAACTGAAACGGTAGCACCCACGAGCAAATATATGTAATGTCTGGTTATGCATAACGTCTTACATGCATTCTGAAGTAACCAAAACGAATCATAGAAATTAAAAAAGTACTTCTGTTATGACTCAGTCTCACTTACAGTATATGTACAGTGTTTTACATGAGTTAATAGTAAAGTATATTATTAATCTACAAATATTGTTACTTGTAAGGATTGACTTGATGGTTAAGTGCTTAAAAAGATTGTGTTGCCATCTGTTGTACGGTAGTTTGTAAATTACGGTACATTGGTCCACATCAGATTTCGCAAATAAAAACCATTTCCTCACAAAGTAGAACCCTTTTTGGAATCAGTTCTCCCTCAGCAGTGGAACCAATTCTTCCTGTAGTGAAATACTGGTCACGAACCGGTACCAGTTTGTGTACCAGGGGATGGAAACCCTCATTCTTAGTGATTTGTTATTAGCCTAACCTTAAGTCTGGTCAAATGTCAATCTGTTTTTAATTATGTGATTCTTGTGTTTTTATTATTATTTTCATAATTATTCCTGTGATTTGAGCCCTTCACCTTGAAACCAGATGTTCTGCCCATTAACCCTCCGTCTCTCTTCTTTATCAACCTTCTGTTTGCTATCCATTGACTGTAATTCATCAATTGACACCTATCTCTTAAAGTTATTCACCTATAAACTCAATTCTACCTCATGTTTACCCATGAACGTTACCCATCCATGTTCTTGTATTTCTCTGATATTCCACCCGCATCTGTCTCTTTTTCATCCTTCTTTTTTAGAAAGTCAAACCTTTCTTGCATAGGCATCCACGTAATTGCACAGTTCACGATATCCAGTGACCCACTGATGCTGTGGGTGCAATCACATTTGCATTTTCTTGCAGAAATGCATTCTGTAGCTAATTATGAAAGGTTAATTTCTCTCTGTTTACACTGTCATATAGATGTGCTATAATGAACTCCAATAACTTGACAGGTCTGGATCAGCTATGCCCAGTTTGAGCTGTCCATCGAGACCCCAGACCGGCTGGAGAGATGCAGGCAGATCTTCGAGGAGGCCAACCGGAGCCTGCGCAGCTGCGAGGAGAAGGAAGAGCGCCTCATGCTGCTGGAATCCTGGCGGGACTTTGAGGCCGAGTTTGGCAGCGTTGGGACACGAGAACGAGTCGCCAAGCTTCTGCCGGAGAAGGTGAAAAAGAGGAGGAAGCTAACTGCAGAGGATGGGGTGAGTATCCATGGCGTTTGCACTTCATTAGTGACTGTTTATTGGCCAGTGCTCGTATCCAGTTGAAGGTTTACGTGTCGAGATGGACCGGAAGTACTGGAGGAATACGTAGTTTCCACAAATACACAATAGTAGGTAGTCACCAGTAAACATCAGTTGATTAAATTGTGCACTTAATCCTACAACCACCGTGTTGGTGGTATGCATTTTTTAAATAAGCACTTGATTTGAGCGACTTCTCGTCTTTGGTGCCAGTATATTCCTTAAAGCACCCTTTGATTTCTCTTCTCTCAAAGACTGATGCAGGCTGGGAAGAATATTACGACTACATCTTCCCAGAGGATTCGGCCAACCAGCCAAACCTCAAGCTCCTGGCCATGGCCAAGATGTGGAAAAAGCAGCAGCAGCAGGAGGAGGAGGAGGAGGAGGATGATAAGAAAGAGGAGGAGATGGAGGAGGAGCAGCAGCCGGGGAGGAAGACTGGTCAGGAGACTGCAGCGACAAAAAGGGACACCCATGTCCCCCTGGCTGAGAAGGATGCCAGTGAGCCTGCGGTTGGTGACGGGGATGATGATGATGATGATGATAGCAGCAGCAGCAGCAGTAGTAGCAGCAGCAGTAGTAGTAGCGAAAGTGACAGTGAAGAGAGTGACAAAGCAGAGAAAAAGGACAACACACAGAAGAGTGAGACGGCAGGTAAATAGTATATGTGTGACTCATCATGGGTTACAGCCTCTGTGTCTGATTCTGCTTTTGTTTTTTGGTCTAATTGCCCCTCCATCCCATGAATTCCAAGGATGTCTTCTGCAGGTTACCCAACAACAGCCATGTAAATACATCACTAGAATTATCTTAAACCCAGTTAATTCGGTGTATATATTTTTTTTTAAATGGTCACACACATATTTGAACTCCTGCAGTGTAAATGCTATTAAAAGGTGCCATAAGAGCGGTTAATATTATAAGACATCTGTGTGTGGTGGCCATCTTGATTCACTGAGCTTTTTTTGTATTTTGGAGTCATTCAATAAAATTACATCCTTTCTATTTGTTGTTACTCTGCTAGCAGCTAATGTAGTTTGGTTGATGAAAGTCTTCGTTTGTGTTTAGAATTTGGTGATCAGTGATCATTGTTGACACATCACGCAATGAAATGTGTCCTTTCCTTTTAACCCACATGTGACATGCTGGGGGGGGGGGGGGGGATACTAATTCAGCACCCAGGCAGCAGTGCTTGGGGCCGGTATCTTGCTCAGTGGTGCCTAGCTGGTCAGGGACTCAAACCAGCAATCTGTCAATTACAAGTGTGCTTCCTAACCTTTAGGCCACCATTGCCCTTATTGTGTGAATTCATTGTTTTTTTTCATTTTATTTTATTTGGTGTGCACTGATATATATTTTTACATTTCGTATATGTTTAAGGTTTATGTTGTTTCTGAGACATAAAGGCAAGCAGTAGTCCCACCTGGTGTTGAAAAGTAGAAATACTCAAACCTAATACCTGCTGTAGTTCAGTGGCTGAATTGTAACATTTGTCCCCTGAAATTAATCCTAATTAATAAACCTAAAATAAAATTACTGCCTTAATTAGGTCAAGATCTAGACCCCATAACTTATTAGTCTGATGGTGAAATACTGTGTTGCACATGGTGTATTGCTGTGACATTGAAGTTCCATGGGTGAATGCCAAGTGAATGGAAGCACCACTGGAAAGCTGACTACAAAAATAAGTATAATTAGAGTGAACTACATTTTAAAACACTTAAGAATTCCTTTTTAAAAATTTTAATTAGGCTTAAACAGATGTGAATTAATCAGTAATAGATATAATTGATCAATAATAAAATAAATCCATTTTGTGTCCCTAAAGCCTGTAACTGCGTAAATGTAGCAATGACTGCTGACCGAATTGTTTTGATAGAATGGAGGAGGGAGAGGGATGTAACACCATCTTCAGACAAGATGGAGATGTCGACCACTGGAAGTATGGACATCGTTTTATGTTCAAGGAAGCCATAAAGGAAAAACATAACAGTGTGCTTTGATATTTTTTTTCTGAAAGTCAAAGTGTGTTGTACAGTGAAGAATTCAATAAAAAAAAAAAACATTTGGAGGTATGTTAGCTAGCCATCTGAGTTGTGTCAGCTGTATCCAGTGGTGGGCACAGCTAACCAAAAAGTTAGCTTCAATAAACATTCATTGGCGAACTCCATTTTAATTTCATACTGCTAAATATCCAGCACCACTGGTCTGCAGGGGGGTGGCCTGTTCCAGGAGCTACACAGCAAAGGGCATCACAACTTCTAACTCTGTTGTCTGTTATTAGCAACGAAACATATAAATTAAATTCAAGTAGATTCCACACTTTAAAAATTAGGTTTAATTTCATTAACTCAGATTTTATTTAATACATACAACAAAGTAAATACACTCAGTGACAAAAAAAATGAAGCGCCCAGAAGTAATGGTCCGATTTGGATGCAATTTGGTACACGTGCAGACCAGCGATGGGTATGTCAATGATTTGCAAGGAGCTGGCAGGACTAGTCATCAGACACTGAGGATGCCTCGTAGACTCATTAGACGGCATTACCAGCACTTGACGGAGTTTGATAGTGGTCACATTGTGGGTTTGCATGAGGCCGAGGGGTCGTATCGTGCAATTACCCCACATGTGGGGCATACAGTTGTCACTGTTGCCCAATGTTGGAACCAATGGACACGTGAGGGCACCCACACACATCATGAAGGTTCCGGTCATCCAAGACAGACCACACCAAGGGAGGATCGTCGTATTGTGCACCTGGCATTACAGAACCCCATGACATCTGTGCCTGTCATCCGGACATAGGTACTGAACTCTCTACAACACCCCACGATACCCCACACCTTATCTCGATGACTGGCATCAGCCGGACTACACCTTCACCTTCCCATGCGTAGGCTGCTGTTAACACCAGCACAGAGACAGCTGTGTTTGGAGTGGTGCCGTAACCGGGAGGCATGGACTGATGACGAGTGGCCATGTTCAGCGATGAATCTTGGTTCTGCATTACCACGGATGACCGTTGTGCCCATATGGCGGTGCCGAGGGGAGAGGACCAATCCTGCCCATGTTGTGGAGAGACATACCAGCATTACTCCTGGCATCATGGTGTAGGGAGCCATAAGGTATGACTTCAGGTCATCTCTGGTAGTGATTCAGGGGACCCTGACGGCATAGTGCTATGTCAGTGACATCCTGTATCCACCTCTCCTGAGACAGCACCCAAGTACAGTCTTTCAACAAGACAACACCAGTCCACACGGCACGTGTGTATATGGACTGCCGGTGTCATGTTGAGGTCCTCCTGTGGCCAGCCAGGTCCCCTGATCTTTCCCCAATCAAACGTGTGGGATCAGCTCGGACGTCAAATCAGACCCAGTGCCAATCTGCAGGACAAACAAACAAAAGTTACTTTTTACAGTACTGTTGTTATGGGATGGATTTGAAGTGACAAAATAAAATGCCTATGTCTGATTTTTTGGAAATTGTTTGCTTGATTTATATTTATATCTAAGGAATAAGTTTGAAGTGTAATTGCCCAGTAATAATTTACTACCCTTGATATGAGTCTCTTAGTGAAATATTTGAGTTAATACATAGTAATCAAACATAATAATTTTAGTAATGTGGCAGTTCCTGTTGACAGCATGTGGCTCAGTTGGCTCAACCTCTCTGCCTGTAATCAGTAGGTCACTGTTTGAAACCCAGGCTCAGCATGTCTGTGGGTCCTTAAGCAAGGTCCTTAACCCCCAGCTTCCTGGGTGCCCTTTGCAGCCAGCTTGCTCTCAACTACAGAGAGGAAGTTATGAAGAGAATTTCCCCACAGGCATCAATAAAGCATTGCTTTTTATTATTGTTATTTACTTCATGTTTCTTATTAATGAGTAGGAATTTTGACCACTGTGAAATAAAACTGCAAAAGTTTACAAAGCTCAACAATATTACTTATTAAATCAGGGTATATACAGAAATCCAGAGGTTAAATTTAACACTTTTTAATACCTTTTTTTAATACTTTC